GGCAGGTCATAAACAAAATGGCATCAGGATAAACAGGGTTTTAATGGTAGTAATATATTTTTCGAATTATAGTGCAATATGACACCAGTGTAATCAGGATCAATCACTTCTATCCATTCAGAACAAAGAATGGTTACTGTGGTCATTAACGAATGTTATAACAAATCATGATAAATAACGTGAGAAAATCTATTGGGTTACCGCGATTATGCGTACGAGTTCCAATTGAATTATTGTTTCATTTAGATATTTAAAAATGTACTCTAATTTATATTGCAGTTTAAATGAATATTAAAAACCTAGCGTTATGTAATTTCACATCTTTTCAATATTTCGTGGTAGAGGACAACCGCTAACTTATAGTATAATCAAACATTCACATTTACTAAAATCTCATTTAAAACCGGCAGCAAAGGAGTTTGAAAGGTCATGTAAGCTGAATGAAATTAACGTCTACTTTATCACTGTGGTGACAAAAATATGTTTGGCTACCAGTTAAATTATGCAGATCTGCGTTTGTTTTTTAATTGAAAATTACTTAGTAATAAATTCGGTCAAAATCATGGAGAAGGGAATATTATTCGCAGTGACGATGCCTTACGCAAAACCGATAATGACTGTCATTAAGTTGTTTGATTACTTTATAAATAATGGATTCATAATAAATAAAAAAAACACTTGTGGACAGGAAACAGTGATTATTTTTGTTTATAAGTGTTTCTGCTTAGTTATTTTAACTATTGGTTTGCCTTGTTTGAGTGAGTCGATTATTTAGGTTATGCCACTATAAATAATAATGCAGAATTTCGAATTTTGCAGTGGGAATTTAGCTGAGGGCTTGTGGTTTATTCTAATTCCAACCCAAATGAAATGCACTCTCAAGATGCTTTGTACATAGCTATTCTCGGACTCCATATCATTGCTAGTTGCGCTGTTAAGCAAGCACGAGGCGATGCAAAACGTTTTATGTGCCTGGCCCTCGGATTGTCGTCAGCTGTAATGATTTGCGGTTCAGAGGTTTGGCATGCATTTGTCCTTACTGGAGGTTTTGTTATATTTTACTCACTTGTAAGCTTTAGGTAAGAGATGATTTTTATTTAAATTATTTTAGATTTATCCATTTTGCTGTCTTCATGTGGGGCTTTGCTTATCTCGGTTTTTTTCACACTGCCCATTTCTATGGTTTCAGCAAACCATCCCCACTAACCAACATGTTTCATCTGTTTTTGACACTCAAGGCAAGTCTTTTTTAGGTCTCACGTTTTTAGGTAGTAGGGGTTTCTTTCGAGCTACATGACACATTTAATATCATCAACCAGTTGCAGCAGAATAAGCGCCACAGTTACATTCCAGACGAAAAATCCAGGCTAGAGCTTAAATATCGAGGGATTCTGACGACACCTTATTACATTGTCTGCTACGTGTTTTGTTACATGGGAATGCTCACTGGTAAGGCAAATTAAAAGACCTATTTAGCTCTGATACGACATCTGTTTTATAAGTGATTTTTTTTTATAGCAGGACCTATTTGCAATTATGTAAATTGTTATAATACTTGTTGGGAGAGTTCAAAACTGTGAGCACGTTTAACATTATCATCGAAAACTTCCTAAATCACAAAGTAGCAAGTAATGCCAATATTTGTGCTTACTGCTTCCATCCGAATGTAAGTAAACTAAACCATGTAAGATATAGGCTAAAGAATATATGCTTTTCAAATTGTTTTAACAAATTTTTTGAAAGTTTTTCCTGTTCCTAGGACCATACTATACCTACCGCGCATTCAATGATATGCTTCACGGATGGCCATCTCGGGCCCCAAGATTGTCTCTTGCACCCCTTTGGAGAAGGTTACAAGAAGCGCCATTCTTCGGCATAGCCTACTTAATTGGCTCTCAGTTTGTCTCTTTCGATGTAAGAATTTTATTAACCTTTAAGGTAAATAGTTTATGAAGTGTACGGGCTCCAAATCATGTGACTTGTTATTCATATAATCTGGGGAACATATAGACTGCCATATATCATGAAAAGTAGAAGTGATTTTGTAACTAAGTTAACCAACTAATGGAACTGAATATCACATGCCAATAAGATCGAAATAAGTTGTTATGAATGGTTTACTCTACATGTAATCGTGAATTTTAATTCTACAACAATATGCTTTCGACTTGTGACCTCACCATGCTCCCATTATTGAAGACACTAGTTTTTACGTCATAAAACACGAGTAGAATCTCGTTCAAGGATGACAAAAAGAATTTGCTTTCTTGTTTTCTAATTGATGTTAAAATAATTTTTTCTAAATTAAAAATCAGGTACTATATCACTATGTGGATCACAAATATGGGAGTCACCAATTAAGCGTTCACTTTCAGGCGTGATGACAAGGTGGATCTGTCGATTATGCAGTTTAGCATGCAGTATCATTTTAAGCTCTGTACGCGTCAAAATGATTCTTATGTACGCCACGTTAGTTTTGTCTTAAGCAAATGTCCTTGGTAATTTCAAATATTTAAATGCATGGTTTACAAGAACTCGCTTTTCTAATCCAACATTATTTTAGTTGTATTGATTAATTGAGGTTTAGCTAGGTCAGACAATCGCATTATAATGATTCAGATATAACAATTTATGCTCCACGAAACTTCCAGTCAAAGAATTTATTATTGTGTTCAATGTGGACTAGACATTGGCCTAATGTAGTGCTGTTAGGTCAAAATGAAGGTGTCTATTGCGCATAACCTGTAGAATATGCATGAAATTTCAGTTAAATCAGAGCCAAGAATGAAAGCACGAACTAATGTTTCGAACTTTCATGAAAAGTGTAACTTGTTTCCTGGTGTGCTCCAGCCATAATTTTACACGAATGTTGTGGATATGTGGAAACTTTTTATTTTGCGCTCTATGAATAAAGCAAAATGAAAGCATAATTGAATAATTATACTTTATGACGTGTTTCGAAAGAAGGCTTAAGTCCTATTGGTGGAAATGATTCTCGGTATTCTGGCCCAAGCCGATCATTGATTAGCATGGAAATACGGGCAGATCGGTGATCTGGCTCGAACATTTGCAAATCCCCATTCTTTGAGACCACTCACAGTGCCGCGGTTGAGGTAAGCAAGCACAATAATGATTGGTTTCGAATCCACCAGTCGTAATTTAGTGTCAGCCCTGTAACCAGTCGAAAGCACGTCATCACCTCGCCAAATTTTTGCCTACCGAAAAAACTAAACTAAATACCCTTCGATTTATTCAAAGTCGATTTTTTTTCATTACACTAAAAGGCACAAAATAGCCGTTTCAGAACTGAGCGGTCGCGAAATTTATTTTTGCAGCCCTGGAAATTTCCAGAACATTTTTCCTTTTGTGATTTTGGGCAATTTCTGGTGCTTATTCTCTCCACTAAAGAGTGCGTTTCCACCATCAAACCGAGGTATTTGCATCGGTCTTTACTCAAATAGTGCTGTGGAATGCTATGGTACGAACATCATCAACCTTTGGTACATGGTAATGAAAAGTACAAAATGCCCATAATGAACTGTTTTGTTAATTATCAGAAAAGGTGATTTCATCTTGATGCTGCTAAAGTACACAAACAGGCCCGCGAAAATACCTACTGCTTATCTGAGGGGTGAAGAAAGTTCTCGATGACCACTTGACCGCTTTCATTAACCAAAATCAACTGACTGATTAACGCTTAAAAAGATGCAGATGCCAGTTTAACGAAATAGCAAGTATTACCACAACATGTCAGCCGTGAATTCATGTCGGTTTACAAGAAACAGTTTTTATGTGTTGTAATGAGTCCCTGTCAGTGTTGTGGCAAGTTCTCCTTTTGACACCTGATAAATGTCAATTTTTACTACCTTCCAGTCTTGTTTACACTCTGTCAATTGCTTAACAAAACGCGAATGTCAAGTGGGTTCATAATTTCCCGCTCTAGCTATAATTCACTTCCAGTGATGATTATTTTGTGTTAATAACCAGAGTAAAGGTATTGTTCAATCGGATTATTATCGAAGGTTACAGGGAGATGTCGAAGCACCGCGGCCACACGTTCAGATTCGAAGGATGGCAGAATTGCTTGAGGGGTAACTTTTCCGTTAGACGTCAGACGCCGATTAAGTCACACTAGAAACCAATTTAATCGTGTTCACTCACGATTGCTTTGTTCGCTTGCTGCTCTCCACGATGACTATGCGCTCAGAGGTCTGGTCGAATCGGATCGTTGTCATGTAGCCGAGCCAAAGGTTACAGGGAGATTGGTAAATCCATCACCAATACAATCGTTGAAACTCGCTGAAAATGTCGTGGATTAATTAGGAGGTTTGGTAGGGGGTCAAAATCGTTCAATGCGACTGGTCAATATATCCGATTCGCACCTAAGACGTTATCAAAGTGATTGTGGTTTTAGAGTGAACCACAGCAGTTAATGGTCAGTGGATTAACAATGGCTAAACATTTATCCAAAACGGTCATCATAAGAATTGACGAAAACTGATAAACTGGATCAAATACGATCACGCTGTCAAGTCAGTGGAAACACCAAGGCGTAGCGTATTTCTAAGTACTAGTAAACAACCAAAGGGTCAAATCTCGTGTTTCCTGTCAACAACCAATGAGATTGGATTAGGCGGCAATCAAGGCGAAACGGTCAGAACTGGCAAGTCGCAAGAGTCGCGTTCCACAAGGGCAACACAACGCCTTCCACATTTCCGGAACTTGTTTGAAAGCTATGTGATCTGAAGTCGTGAACGGTTCCGGTGTTTGCTGACTAGGACCGGAATTTAATAGGAAGACGCCCAAGCGGGAAACTTGTTCATGTTCAGGAAATCTTCTCGACAAATTACATCTACCTGTCACTCCTGAGTACTCCACGCGTCTAGACTGGAGGACCCATTGATTGAGGCGGCGTGTGGAAGTGCTTCACTGCATCAAGGTAGGAAGTAGTAAGTGAAGACATCTTCCAGGTCCAAGTCACCAGCAAGTGGAAGTGGTGGATGGCCTTCGATGGGTTAGTCGTTCCGGTGGACTGTCTTGGACTGGTTAGCAGGTTTGATAATGGGATCAAAATCGTTCAATACAATTGGTCAATATCTGCGATTCGTAACTAAGACATTATAGAAGCGATTATATTTTTGGAGTGAATCTTGGCAACTGACGGTCAGTGGATTAACAACAGGTGTGCATTTGTCCAAAGCGATCGTTCACAGAGGCGTGAGCTGGATGAAATATGACCATTTAATCATGTTAGTGGAAATACCGAGGCACAACATATTTCAAACTGTTTTTAAACACCAAAACGATCAAATCCCGTGTTTCCTATCAACAACCATTGAGTGGGAATTTGAAAGTAGTCAGAGGGGAACGGTCAGAAGCCATTGGATCAGCATTTGATAGCACTGATTCTTCACCATCAACATTTCCGTGACACAAATGGTAAAACTTTCAATACCATAGTAATGATGACGAATCCGATTCTTGATGTCAAAGTCGAGGGGTCCTAAGAGAGCTGAATAGCATGCGGGAGTCCGAAAATATTTGGTTTATTAAATACAAAAAATGAAAATGCATTGTGAGGGCAAAATGCCGACGGGTTGTTTTGTATTAAGGGCGAATGCAGACAAACATTTTTTGTAAGACTCATGTCCTAAATTCTTGTCTGCTATGGAAAGATCTGACGCAAGATACTCACATATGAATTTGTGCCAGAATAGACGTATATTCGGCTTCGAAACGCGTTTAGTACACCGTAGAAATAATCCCTATACGTGGGATGCAACTTGAGACTATGTTCTACTCGTCATAGCCCGGTGTAGAACTTGTATGAACATTTTAAGGTCTGCTGACTGCCACACACACGTGTGCCTCACACTCACCAAGTCACCCTCTCACTGTCCCACTTCAGTACCTCCGCGACCCCGACTTCCAGCAACTCGGACTCACCAAACGCCTGGCGTATTTGGCCGCAGTCTTCCTGGTCTACAGAATGCGGCTGTACTTTGCGTGGATCGTGGGGGAGTGCGTGTGCGTTGGCGCGGGTCTGGGCGCCTACCCGGCGATTTCAAGGCCCGTCGCGGGTCGTGGACCCACCGACCTCTTCGCCCTCCATCGGTATGCGCCCCGCTCACCTTCCACCACCACCACCACCACCACCACCACCACCACCACCACCACCACCACCACCACCACCACCAC